CAGAACAAACCTGAAAGGCCTGATGTAGGCACAGTTAGCAAGTTTTGAAAGTTAGCTGACCTCTGTCTGACACTGTTAGTGTTGTAGCTTTGTGAAGAGTTCCAGAGGTTGTAACTCAGTTAATATACTTTAAGGTTCTATTAAGCCACTAAAGCATTAGCGGTGATAAGTTGTTTTGCATTAAGTCTCACTAGATGCAAAGAATAAGTTTCACATGAATTTTTATATTTTTGTGTTTTACCTTGTGACCACGGTAAAGGTTTAACACGTAATTTACATAATAATAACTGTATATATCTTTGAAGAATAATTTTCTTTCTCTTTACATATTGAGTTTCTTTCTTCAACACGTTTCCCATTCCTACAACTTAGTAATATGAACATTCAGAAGAAATATGAAATACATATGGTAAAGTCTGGTCACAGAGCTGGTGTGGCATAATTTTTAGAATTTAGGGACACATTGAGCAACAAAATCTAGAAATGACAAAACTTTTAGAATTTAGAGCAGGCATTGGAAGCAGAATTTAGAAAGGCACCAGGCAAAAGAATTTAGGATCCACAGAGATTGCGTCAGGTGACAAAATGCCTAGCGCCAGCTCTGCGTATGATGCATTAAGACATATTAGATGAATCTTTTAATTGTCAGCTTTCAATTTCTTCATTAATAAAAAAAATTATTTTTATAATGCCTGCCCATATGATAAGATTAGAAGTACTTTTGATATTTTCAATGCTTGTATCTAGTGAAAAGTAGAGAAAATAAAGGGAAAATAAAAATGTTAAGAAAGCGATTCTAGAATCAGAAGTAAAACATTAAACTATTTATTATGTTTTCATTGTTCTTCCAGATGTTCTTCAAAATGTAAGAAACTGCGTGTTACTACCATGGAGACATTTTCATTTTATCACATTTTCTGGAATCTTTTAGAATCGTTGGTCTATAAATTTGCCTTAAAATCTTTTTAAACTTTCCAAGCTTCAATGTCTAAAATCCTACAGAAAAATTACCCCTGCCAATTCTGTAACAGCAAAAAGCCAGAAATGTTTTTTAAAAAAAATCGGAGGAAAAAAGTGTGAAATTAATTTTATAGAGAAAACTGATGCATTTTCTGAGAATTCTGATCATTCTGGGAAATAAGAAAAATTCTTAACATGAAAAAAATTAAAAAGACATTTTTTAATTAATTACATAGCTATTTTGCTTTTGCTAAAAACTGTTTTGTTAACTGTGCTTTGAATAGCATTATTCCTTGCTTATTTTCAGATTCAAAAAATTGTATAATATGTGGCCAAAATGGAACTTTATACTATGACAAGTGAAAAATAAAAATGATTTATTTTTATGTTATTTCTTAAATATAATTCCAATATTTACCATTATTTTAATGAAATTTATCAACGTTAGAATGTTCTAAAAAAATCGTCAAAAAGTTCCCAGATCTCAGAATTAAAATTTTTCTATAGAAATCGATCTTAAAATCGCCAAAATGTTGATAATCGCCAAATTTAGAACCGTTTAATAAAAGAATTCACATCCCCATAAGCGGCAGAAGTTGTTTGAGAGCTCTTCATTACAAAAAATGAAATAATTTTGAAATGCCTTTGTTTCACTTCTTGCTCAGAAACTCGAGCATCCCTACCATTATTTATATTACAAATAGGAAAAAATTATAACTCATGAACCCATTAAAAAATTACCCATATTTGTCAGTGAATGGCCAAAAATATTCCTGCAAAATGCTAATTCACACCCAAAATGGCAATAGTAAAAACAGACAGAAATTTCAGATGATTAAAATTAAGGACCTTCCATCAATTTTGGTAAAATTAAGGACTTTTAAGGACCAAAAATCAATTCCGAAAATCTTAAGGACTTTTAAGGACCGTACGAACCCTGCACGGTATGGAAAGTTTTGCGGAGCATTATTGGATTTTACCCCTCCAAAATCAGCCGCTTGCACGAACTGAAACCAAGTGATTATGATAAGCGAGTGACATTTGCTCTATCGTTTCTTGCCAGGGTAGAAATTGATGATGCTTTCCCATAGCACATTCTGTGGGGAGATGAGTGCCATTTTTATCTCAATGGGTCCGTCCATAAACACACAAAATAGCCGAATTTGGGCTTCTGAGCAGCCCCACACTGTGCACGAAATCTCATTAAATTCCCCAAAAGTCACTGTTTGGTGTGGTTTCACAGCCGAATTCATAATTGGGCCATTCTTTTTTGAGACCATCACTCCTGACAAGGACCCCCAACGTGCACCATAAATGCAGAGAGGTACCACACGAAATGCTGCAAACGTTTGTTATTCCACAACTTCAGCAAAGAAACCGTCTCCAACAGACAATCTTTATGCAGGATGATACTCCACAACACATTAGTAATAAGGTAAAGCAGCTGTTACACCAAAACTTCACCGAGTCGTAAGTCGCAGTTTTCCAGTTGCATGACCGCCTCGTTCCCCTGACCTCACGCCATGCGATTTTTGGCTCT